AACCCTCACTGATACCAAGGGACTTCATAATATGAACTATATAGGCACAAAGCCTGGAAGTAGCTCACGTAACTGCCAGACATTGTCAACAGTTGTGCTGCTCTGTGCTTACTCTATAGTAAATGCTTGTTTTGTAAGATACTGTATAGCAGTACAGTGCTCCAACTGTGCCCAAGCGGAAAAGCAGCATTGTTGTGGAGACAACTACTAGGAAGCTCAAAGCAATACATATTGCATATTTGTGTCAAAGGTTTACTGGATTTGTCAGACTAACAAATCCAGTGTTCTCCCAGAATGGAACTTATGCATAAGTAGAGGACTTACTGTGGTAGGAAACTGGCAACATAAAAACTAGCAAATCAATTGCTGTATTAAATAAGGATCATTTGAACACAAGGCCTATGACATGACAGTTGATCTAATAATGGAGACAGTACTAAGTAACAGTTAATATATTGAGTATTGTAATCTTCAAAATAGTTACTCAGATTATAAGATACAGGCATGAAAAATTAAACAATATAAGTATAACCATTCTTTTTTAATGAATTAATGGAAATTAGTAGTATAATTATATTAGCTATCTTTGTATATTCTTTTCCCTGCCTTCTCTTCTCCTTTCCTCCATCTCAGATGTTCTTTCCTTTTGAGCAGCTTCTTTACCTTTCACAATGTCTATTGAATCTTTTGGCAGGTACTCCCTGGGGAAGGGCTGGCATGGAAAAACAAAATTCCCTTCTGGAGGAAGAGAAGGGCTTTTTTCTGGAGGAGAGAAGAAAGGGGAAGTAGGCCATGTGGATTGCCTCCAGGATGACTAGGCAGATTTTTTGTATGGCAGAAACTCATCAATCCCATCTTTTTGTTGTCAGAAAGGGGCACAGACTCTCTCAGATTACTTCCTGCTGAACAGGGGTTGTCGTGATAGGGGCCAGTATAGTTGTTGGGATGATTACACATGCAAGTCTCATTTTACTTCCTTTTTTTTTTTTTTTTTCTATTTTACTTTTGAGTATGTTCCCAAGTTGCACCCATTTACGTATAAAAGCCTGGAGTTTATCCCTCTTCATAGTTGAGTAGCACTCCATTATATAAAAATAGCACATCTTGCAATAATTATCTTTCAGTTGATGAGCATTAGGGTTGTTTCCAAGATTCAACTATGACAAATTGTGACACTATACATAGGTTCATGCTTATATTTTAGTATTCATATCATTTTTCAGGATTAGTGAAGTGACACTGTAAAATGAAGCTCTGCAAAATATGTACAATTAAAAATGTTACACTTATCAAATGATCCACCCCACCCTCCCGTTTTATACAGGAGCTCCCTACCACTAAGCCACATCAGCATTCACGTTTTATTTTTTATTTTCAGTTAAGAGTCCTACTAAGTTGCCCAGACTTGGTCAGACTCAAATGCGCGATCTTTTGCCTCAGCCTCTGCAAGTCCTGGGATTACAATTTTGCTCCAAATTTAATATAAATAATTGCACGTAAAAAAGAGAACATTACTGAAATAATAGTAACAATGTGCTACTAATCTAAGGCAACCAAGAATGTGCTGATTAAATGGAAAGAGAGCATCAAACTAGTCGTTTCTAAAAGAAAGCCTCACCAACTCAAGTTAGAACCACTAACAATTTGCCATTCACGTGTCTTATATCTGATTGGTCAAAAAGTAAGTTCAGTTTTCATTTCTTCCTGGAATAATAGTTTTGTGCTTCTACAGAAAAATGAACATTTGACATCAAACACTGCAATGTTGAATTCTTCCTTTACCTGAAGAATCACCTCTTCTACTTGGCCAAGCTGAAGTCGGTCTTCTAATTTTTTAACATCTGGTTCCTGGGATTTCAAACAAAGAAAAAAATTAAACACAGGAACACAATATCTGAATGTTTTAATATCTTTTTTTTTTTTTTTTTAACAGAACCGAGGATTGAACTCAGGCACTTGCACTTGCCAGGGAAGTGCTTATTCCGCTGAGCCATCTCCCCGGCTCCAATATCTTGTATTTTAAAAACTTATATATAAAAGGCATTTCTAACAATTTTTCTAGCACAAGACTTAAGTTTTCACTATTTGGTGAAAAGTTATTTTATCTCTCTGTTGTTTTATTATTTTTCTGTCTGAATACTGAAAGTTGTATATTTTTTGTCATACTTATTAAAAGACACAGTATCTACTTCAATCATAAAATATGTTGTAAAAATCACTTTGCTTTTAATATTTTCCATAGTTTTTAAGAACATTAAAAATAAATACTATTCTATGGTACAGAAATTCTTCTACTGAATATATACAAAATAAAAATGAATACATAAACAACATGCTTAAAGTCCACAGCAGCATACTTTGCGGTTCCAAACTAGAAAGAAATGAAATCACTATAATAGAATGGATTAATAAACTATGTATTTGGATATAATAGAATACTATACAGCAAGATGAATGAACAAACTAACCATATGTAGCACAGACTGATTCTCTTAAACATAATATTAAGTGGAAAGAAATGAGTCACAAGAGTATACAATGAGTATTCCATTTATATAACATTCAAAAACAGGCAAAATGATGCATGCTAGAGACTAGACTAGTAGTTATGGTTAGGAACTGTTATGGCTTCAACCTAGATGTTCCCCCAAAGCCTCAGGCATGCACAGGTTGAGGCTTTGCAGAGGTGGCTGGATCTAGGGTGTGTGATGCTGGGATCAAGGATGTGATGCTGGGATTAACTCACGATGCACTACTAGCATTCAGGCTGCCCCAGCCTGGGTGTAAGTGCTATCCTTCCTAAGGGCTGGCAGACTAAATAAAATATAAGGGACAGAAAGAGGCCTCTGTCATCCTCTGATGTGGTGACCGCTGTATTGCTCGCCACATGCTGTCTCATGCCTGCCCTGCTTTGCCGTGAAGTTTTTCCTCTTAGATGCCTTTTTCCCACGCCTTGGGGTCAGCTGACTATGGAATGAAATCTGCACAAAGAGTGAGCTGAAGTAAAACTTGTCTCTCCTAACTTTGAGCAGTGGGTATTTTGTTTCAACAAAAATAGTAACCAAGAGGAGTATAGTAACCTGGAGAGAAACAAGAGGGTTTTGACTTTCTCAAACTCCCTATTTTTTTTT